GGTGACATCCCAACTGAAAACTATCTTTTTCGTCTCGGGACACCAAAGGCGATAACCTTTAATGCCTGTCGTGATCCCCATAAAGAGCGTCTTTTTCGCCCTTGGATCCAACTTTGATTCTTTAATATGATAATATGCAGTAGAATCAAACACATGTAAGGAATCATAATCTGTAGCAGGTTTTTTCGACCATTTCTCAAATGGCGTTTTGCCACCAATAGCAGTTGATGGTAAGCGATTAACGAGATGATTTGCATATGCTAAAGCCTCAGCCCAAAATTGTTTGCCGAACCCAGCATTGGACAATATACACCGAACTTTCTCCACCAATATCCAGTTCATACGCTCTGCCACCCCATTTTGCTGTGGTATATCTCTGACTGTGAAGTGACGAACAATGCTTTCATTTTCACAGACCTCCATGAATGGATCACTTGTGTATTCACCTCCGTTGTTTGTTCGAAGGCGTTTGTTCTTTCTTTCTGTTTGAGTTTCCACCATTTTTTTCACTTGATGAAAATTCCCAATACTTCACTTTTTGCCTTCATAATATACACTCATACTCTTCGAGAGAAGTCATCGACAAAAGTAACAAAATAATTGTTGCCTCTCAGAGAAGTTGTTTTGGAAGGTCTCCACACATCAGAGTGCACATAATCTAAAATACCCTTGGTATCGTGAATTGCAGTGCCAAATTTTACCCTTGTTTGCTTCCCTTTGACACAATGCTCGCAAAAATCTAACTTGCACACACTGACTCCTTTCAACAGTCCTTGATTCATCAGAAGATTCAAGGATTTTTCTCCGACATGCCCTAAGCGCATATGCCATAATCTGGTTATTTTCAATTCTCGATCATCACTAAAAGCCACTATCGCTACTCCAACAACTGCATTACCTTGATAGTAATATAAGTTATTATTTTTTCGGATTCCTTTCACCAGCACCAATGCACCTGAAATGATTTTCATCACTCCATTATATGCCGACACCTTGTAGCCAATTGATTCTAGTACTCCCACAGAAATGAGGTTCTTTTTCAATTCTGGCACATATCGGACATCAGTTAGAATCCTAATTGATCTATTCTGATTCCTCAGCCGAATTGAACCAACCCCATTTGTTGCTTATGTGGTCTCATCTGCCGTGTAGACGACTCCACCTTCTTGTTCTTTGAAATCAAAGAACCATTCCTTATTGGACGTCATATGATTACTATAACTTGAGTCCAATAGCCATGTACTAGAATGATCAATAGGCATGACAGCTAATGAAAAGTCTGAATCTTGATCAATGCACTCAGCTACATTTGAATCCGCAACAGCTTTTTCCTTGTCAGGTCTACCCTTCAGTTTTGGACAGTTCTTCTTCCAGTGCCCTTTTTCTCTGCAAAAGGCACACTCATCTTTGTTTAGTCTGGCTCTTGACTTGGATCTACCTCTCATCCCCTTTCTCTGGTTTTGTGAACGTCCTCTAGTTACCAGAGCTTCTGCTACTCCATCTCTGCTACTTTACTTGTCTTTTCTTCTGAGCTCGTAGCTGTACAGGGCAGAGCTAACTTCACTGAGGGACACCTCAACTTTCCCATGGAGTAGAGTTGTTTCGAGATGCCTTCACTGAGGGACACCTCAGCTTTCCCATGGAGTAGAGTTGTTTCGAAATGTTCAAACTCCTCAGGAAGAGATCCCAACAACAGGAGAGCCAAATCTTCAACTTCAAATATCACATCTAAATTCATCAGATCTGTGATTAACTGATTGAAATTAGTGATGTGATCACTTAGAGTTATGCCGGAAACATAAGTGAAGCGAAATAAACGCTTCTTCATATTGAGCCTGTTCTGACAATTTTTCTTCAAGAACTTCTTCTTCAATCCAATCCACAATTTATTTGCAGAAATTTCTTTTGAGAACACATATTTCTTTTCCCTTGAAAGACACAATCGAATTGTACCACACGCTAAACGATTTAGCATCCTCCATTCCTTCTCTTCAATCTCTTCTGGTTTCTCTTTTTCGATGGCAATGTTTAGACCTTGATTAAAGAGTGCGTCTAGAATCTCACTTTGCCACATACCGAAATGACCGGTACCATTAAATATCTCCATATTTAATTTTGCATTCGTCATAGTATTTCTTGCCATAATAGACGATAACAAACTTGTCGATACTTGCATTATAGATGAAGATCTACTTTCGCCCATCTCTACAAATTATATTTAGTAGCTCCTAAATGTAGAATAACAATAGTCCAAGAAATCTTTTCTGATGTGGAAGATCAGACTACGCTGCAACCACAGAGCATACTAAGAAACCTTGAGTTCTGATACCAATTGTTGCGGAAACTCTATCAAATTAGGGTATAACGAGTAAATTATTGTACCTAAAATTGTAAAATGGTAATTCCCAAGAAATATTTGGTGAGGCACACTGGCCTGTTTAAGTACTAATTTTCTAGACAGAATCACCTATATATGCAATTAATTGCACAATAACTCACTACAAATATACCTACAAATATAGTTACTAAATAGACAATAAAATAGAACACCAGAATTTAACGAGATTCGGCTAATTTGCCTACGTCCTCGGATACTACCGACAACTTATATTTCTTTACTTAATATTTCACTAGAAGAAATATTACAAAGAGAGAAAAGGAAGTAAGTTATGATGCTCTTGTTTGGTGTGATTGAATTGATTTGTTTGAGAGCTATTTATAGCTTTCAAACCATTCCACAAATCCTAATTCAATCGATGTGTGCTTTGTGTTTTCAAGTTGTACAAGTAATACTTATCCCTCAAAAATAGAAAATCGATATGTAGTGCAGTAAATGAAAACCCATAACGGGACATATCCCAATATCATAGAAGCTAAGAGTTTTAATTTATTTTATTGCATTTACATTACCAATTGTGAAGTTGTGGAGCCAAAACCTATGATTAGAAGGGACAATAATCTCTATTGGTTATTTACACATGGCCGAAGTATCAATTAGTTGTCATCACACAAAAGAAAATTTTGACAAATTTTGTATCATGTTAAAAGAAAGGAAAGTAAGGAAGGGCTTTGGTACTGAAGACCGTTAATCCTTAACATAGTACTGAAAATTTTAGAAGAAACGTTACATCATGATCACTAGCTCAAACCAATGCTTGCTTTCAATAGTTTCCCTGAACATTATCATTGATAGCCATTTTTATTCTTTAGCAAAGAATCAAATACATATATACGGTTCAATTAATGAGGTAATTAATTTATCTCTTTAAATTAACTATATGTGTTAACAAGGATTATCTCTCTCATAGTATCACTAACACACAGTCAAATGCATAGACTAAATATTTCCATATTCTACATGCATAGACTAAATATTTCCATATTCTACATGCTTCGCACGCACACATTACCTTTACAGGTTCCCTACATCATTGCATGGCTTTTCGCCTTACTAGTCTGGTTCAACAAGTGGATCACAAGATATTCTTAACTTTGTGGATTGTTTATTTATGAAAACCTATATAATATCTTTTTGGTTACAACTTTTGACTAATTGTATTGATTGATGTGATAATATAAAGTACTAATGTAGTTTGTCGACCTAAAAAAATGTGGTTTGTCAATCTTAAATGTCAGTTAAATTGTTTGTCTGCTGCAACTTTTGGATGGAAGTGCTTTGTTCGAAATCTATAGATCCAAACCAAAAGTGTGCCATTAGGGCTTGGCGTAATGAGCTAACTAGATGTAGTGTGCATGTTGCTTCGAGAATCTAAAAAGTGAAGCAAACATAGTCAACCATTTATGTGTGGAATTCTTGCTCTCATTATATTTTATAGCTTTATAAAAGAGTGATACACAATAAAAAGTTCTCTTTAATTATTAGTCAAAAAATATGTGATAATGCGAGTGGTCTATTAAATGAATTATTTTCAAAATAATAGAAATAAGCTCAAATATCTCTTTGTAAGTAGAATCAATAATAAGTCCATGAATGTTATCAAAAAGAAAAAATTCGTGTGCCATTTCCTTATATTTTGTGTGAGTATGTGTTTAACTCCGACAAATTGAAAGTGCACACTCAAACAAAATTCTTAGCTTTGTTCTTTATAATCCACAAATGTCGTCAATAATAAATCACTAGGCAATAGAATGGAGTGATTTTTAATTATCAACTAGAGACAAAAATGATTGGATTCGATTAGAACCATTCCCTGCTTTGGAAAATAATTAAGATAATAGCAAAAACATACGTTGAATACAATTCAAAGCAGTCATCCTTCCAACTTGATTTCAAAAGAAGTCCCATAGATCTTACTTGATTGAAGTGCTGTAGTTCTACTTATTTTTTAGGGAAAAGAGTCTCAATGGCCCTCCAACTCTTTCCCAAATAAAGTTTTAGCCCTCCAAAAATTAATGGTAAAATTTTGACCCTCGATCTAATAAAATAGTATATTTGTGGCCCTTCTGTCAAATCCAGCAGTTAAAATTAACGGAAAGCATCATCTCGTGAGACGCACGATCAAATATCAAGGACATTATAGTCTCTTTCCCAGGACAGAGTAAAAATATGTCTCTTTCACCACTGATTTTCGCTCCAACATTTTCCCCTCAAGTTATATCTGATCAGAATCAAATTCTCAGATAGCTGCCAAATCCTTAGTCCCTGAACAAGATTCTGTCGTGGAACCCAGAATACCAAAATCAATTATGTGTAGTTGTGGCGGCCCCACCTTCCCCTAAGGCGAACCAGAGGGTTCGGCAAGTCGCCTGCCCAGCTCTCGTCGGGACTCACTCACTCAATCATCTAACATCATCAAATATAATTCGTAAATAAACTTTACTTCTCGCATAAGCCAAGTACTTAAACAAACTGTGCCATTCAACTTACTCTATCCAAAAGTACAATTTCAAGCATCAAAGAAAATGTCAAACTTAAAATACTTAAATTCAACTTAATTTACAATTTAAAATTCCTAATTCAGGGCACAGAAGCACCACAGGATTCACATTTTCCCAAAAGCACAAAAAAAAATCATCCAAAAGATATAAAAGTATCTCCCAAAGTACAATTACAAAAGTGGGCATTCAAAATATAACATTTCTTTTCTAGTTCTCCAAGACTTCATGCATTTCAGAACCTGTCAAGGAAAAACAAATTGGAAGGGATGAGTCAATAGCTCAGTGGTGCCTCGAAACATGCAATTCACATAGGGCAATTTAACAAGTACAAATGGACAAGTAAGCAATCAACAATTTAGGAAAACGAAGTAACATGACACGAAAAGGATACGGGGCTCTCAGGAGCCAAAGTCCTCGCGCTCGATCAGGTAATTTATAGTAGTTGACACTCCGCCAACTTTCACTACCTAATCTCCATGTAGACATTTTTCCTAATCTACACGTCTTCGAGCAATGACTTCCCCCTTATTTTCGGACCCGACTCCAACATGAATTTTGCAAGCACTTTTACCAAGACGGTAGAGAGGTACCTCCCACTCTAATAGAGCGTGGTACGTGCATCTGTTTGGTTTATTTAGTCGACGAGACCACGCTCCAATCGACATTGCAACACTTGTACTTGTGGTATTTCACACAATCACATAGCATATAACATTTCATGATATTTCTAGCAAGTACTTTTAACAAGTAGTTCAACTAGCAGTTAAACACGATTCATACAAGAGACACTCACCTCAAGTGAAGAGTCTAGAATTTCAAATTTTGATCGAGATTGTGCTCTTCACCAACTCCTAAAATCATACAAATAATTCACATAAATTTCCACTTTTGAGTTGGCGAATTTAACTCGAGTCAACTAGCATTTAATTTCACTCAAAAATCCCAAACTAGTATTAATCGTTTTCTCAAAGTGAAATCCACAAATTTCGAGTGAAATTAAATTTTGAGATTTCTTTAAAACCAAAAACTTGCTAAATTCGTCAAATATTCCAATAACCAAGTTCTAGAGTCATATAAGCAATTAACACCACTTTGGTGTCACAGGTTGAGAAAAATCACATTTAACCATTTAGAGGAATTTTCCCTTCTAATTTTCCCCAAAAATATCTTGGAAAATTCCTTTAAGAGGAAATCATATAAACCAAGTAAAACTAGTCGTTGGAATTTCTATAAAATAGAAACTCCTTAAGTTTGCCAAATTCCATTGACCAACTTGGTTCCAGGATTTTCATGAAGGCAAAAACTTGAGTTTTCAAGAAAATTTCCAGATTTGGCATACTTCTCGAAATAGGGCATTTGGTCTAATAAAATTCAAGGTTATTGACTCGAAGTGGACCTAGTAACAAAGGTTAATGCTAGAAAACATTTTCGGGACAGATTTAGTCCACATTTAACCAAAACGAAATCCAAACGTCAAAATCATTTCTAATTTCAAACAAAATTTCTGTTTTGGGTAGCCTCATGAAAAATAAAATTTTGGTCCACTTTTTGAACGTAAACTCTACTAGATTTTGTCCCCAAATTGAGCTATACACACCCCTTAACTAAACACAAGTCAAATTGGGTTCATGTTAACGTGAAAATCATTCAACATGTCTCGTGCAAAGCTGGAAAAATTTTCAAGTGCATTCGGTACAAGCAGTCTATTTTCTCTTCAATTTGTCCAAAATTTTTCAACTACTCAAAGGCTACATTTTACCCAAACAATACTTCACATATAGGTTAACATGTTTACAGCTCAAATGGTTCAAAAACTTGTCAAAACCAAACCCCAAATTCGCCCAAAAATCTGGAAATTTCCAGAATTTTTCGGACAGCTCAAGGGGCATTTTTCTCTTTGATTTTTCAATGACATTTCCCATTGTACCAAAGCTGTATTTTCACCAAAACTGCTCTACACATATAGGTGAACATATACACGATTTAAATAGCTCAATAACTTCACAAAATCCAGCTCAAAATTTCGGGTAAAAATGGAAGAAAAACAGGCCTGCTGGTTCGGTTTAGCAGAGCAGAATTTTCTCCTCTTTTTGCTCAACCATCTTCAACTTATAACTCATACTTTAAGTCCATAACAATCACAACTAATTAGTCTAATCTCCCAACAAGCAATCCAGTTCATTACCTAAGCAAAAATTGCAAAACAACAACCGGTAACAAAGCTGGAAAATTGCTCGCTCCCTCATCCGGCCAGCACCCCATTTTCATTCTTAAAATTTTTCCAACATTTAACCACCACAAAACACACATATAAACACATAAAACACCTCTTGCTTCATCAATCATTAGCTTAGAGGATCAGCAACCCAACAAGTTTCACCAACGCAAGCTAACATTTCAAGAACCAAAAGCTGCAAAAATCTGAAATTTTTGGCTAAGGTGCTAAGCTGGAGTTTGTTACCTTCAAGTGGGTTGTTTACTAGCTAAAGGTATTGTCTAGTTCCTCAAGTTGCTCCTAGAACCACAGAGGGTCAGCCGGCTCCCTTGCTCTCTGTTTCCCTCTCGGTCTGACCACCCATAGCAGCAACACAGCAGCAAACGTTAAGGTGAAGAGAAGCTTGGGTCTGGGGTTTTTGAGTCAGCTTGGAAGGTTCTGTGGTTGGAGGAAAGAAAAATGGCAGCTGGTTTCTTCTTCTCCCCTGGTCCGACGCAACGCCGGCAGCGCAGCAACGATCTTCCTCCTCCTTGCTCGGTCGAGACAGCAGCCAAGAATGGAGGTGGAAGCTGAAAATGGAAGCTTGAAGATTGGGGTGTGAATGGCTGAGGATGGAAGGCTGTTAGAAGCTTGGAATGGCAGCGGCTTCTACTTCTTCTTGCATCAGAGGATCGGGAGCTTGGAGGGAAAGAAAAGGGTTGATAGCTGGTGATAAGATGGGAAGAAAATTGGGGTAATCTAGTGAGTAGGCTAGTTGACTTTTTTGGCATGCCATTAATGGTGGGCATTTCGAATTCGAATCGCGTTTACGCGCGAAATTTTGATCTACTGGTAGAATTTCCTCATCTAGCATTTCCTCAACTTAGTTGTACATTTTTTTTTTAACCTCTACATACCCTACATTTCAACTTAGGGCTACATTGCGCGTCAGTGCGCAAATATTCACCCTAATGCTTAGCCGAACGTGAACCGCCAAATAAATTTTTAAAATTCATGTAATTTAAAATATGACATTTATATAAGTAAACAACAATATTTAAATCCAATTACATATTATTTAATAAATTCAACATTTAAATAATATTTTGATTTTAATTTTCAGAAATTAATGCAATTTTGAGATCCTCACAGTAGCATTAAGCCTTTCTTAGCAGCATGTCAAATCGTCTTATTGGAGAAGAAATTAGAGATCTGAGTGGATTAAGATAGGTTGTGAGAAATAAAACCTGAGTGGATGGTTCACAAGCAGTGGTGGTCCACATGTTCCTTGCCACCGTCCGATCACACTCCTTGGGAATGGCCGGTGTCTGCATCATAAGCAAGGACATGAATGGAGCATTCTGTTGTTCTTGTTGCGCCGCTGCTGCTGAGGCTGAAATTGCTGATTCACAATGCCCACAACCCCATCACCACCATTTCCCAATCCGCAGACCTCCTCATTTCCCTGCCAAACCCCACAACAACCACCACCACTGGCATTAGGTGTACCAGGTCCCAATTCCTTGCCACCGCCGCCGTCCGCCATATCCCTCTCTAGCAACCCCATCAACTGTTTCATAATCACCAACTTCATCTTCCCTTAGAGTGCTCACTGTCAGACCCAGGTTCACAAAGAAATCATCCCTGTGGTCAGAATTTGTGTTCTTCTTCTATTTGGCAGAATTTGTGTTCTTCTTTACAGACTATAATACCCTTGATATTTAGTCGCGCGTCTCACGAGATGATACTTTCTGTCAAATTTAACTGTTGGATTTGACAGAAGGGTTGCAAATATGCTATTTTATTAGATCGAGGGCCAAACCTTTACTGTTAATTGTTAGAGAGCTAAAACTTTACCTGGAAAAGAGTTGGAGGGTCATTGGGACTCTTTTCCCTATTTTTTAAGATAATAGGTTGTTAAAGTTGTCGCGCCCCATTTTTTTGCGATGGAAAAAGAAAGTGTTTATAAAAAATGTGATTTATTAATAATAAACGGAAAAGGACCAAGAATGGGACTTAAAAAAAATGCGACAATTTGGGTCCAAAATTTAGTCTAAAAGGGTTTTGAAGAAAAATTAGGAGTCGCCACTTGGTATCGAGTTTGGGTGTACCAAGTCACCCAAAAATATTTTTAACAAAATAAAATAAAATAAAACCCTTTTAGACAACTCCAGGTCTTTGAAAACAAGAGAAAATGAGTTCGGGAGTCACGGTTGAAGAAAGGGAAGGCAAAGATTCAATCAACTCAAACCTAAGGCACCCTTTCAACCTAGTCTAAGCTAGTTGCGTGGTTTAGTCAAAATTTTCTTAATTTAACCCTTAATTTATCACATTTGAATGTTTTCTACATGGATGCAAATCTAAATTCATAAAAACATCGAAAGGAACAAATGTTCATTCAAGGGTTTAATTGAACCAATCGCATTAATTGCAAAGGCCAAAATAATTCCTTGAAGGTGTCACGAGTATGCAAATGATTAAATTAAAAGTAAAGAAAAGAAATTAAATTATATACATAGTTATAAGTGATCAAAGAAAAAGGAAATGCAGCATAATGGGTACGGGAGACAAAAACTCGTGACATAATTTTCTTATACAAGGATTAATGGGATATTTAAACTAAAGAGTTATAATCACCCATATCCATGTTCAAAAATAATTCTCCTAATATGAACAAGCAAATGAACTAACTTATTTCACAATTTCTTAAATGAAGTGCAATTCTAAATGATTTGATTAACACATATAGAGGGTAGGGGGTAGAGGATAATATAATAGAAAATATCATGCAAATGAGAAAATTCTAAAAAATAAAATATACATGGAAATGTAATGGATATCACACAAAAGATGAATCTAATGCATGAACAATCTAAGGGTATAGCGTTGGACTAACCCATTTCTAAAAATACTTACTAGCGTTGGACTAGCAAGTAAGCGGAGGGAGAAGCCACAACTAGCGTTGGACTAGTGTGGTGACGTTATGCATTAACAATATATAGTGAAGCAAATAAAGCATAAATTAAAACAAATAAACACATAAGAGCACGTAACACATAACACGTAAGCATAATATCTATATGCCAAAGTCCTAAGAAAAGCGGATAAAACACATAACACATAAGCCACATAAACACACAACTTATCTATTACATCGGGGAGCGCCTGACTACAATCTAGGAGGGAAAAATATAATAAAACAAATCTAATTATCCTATCTATTACATTTTTGAGGTATTTAAATACCTCTCGAATCATTATAAAAATTAACTAAAACGTATATAAGAAAATTTGAATGAATATTTGAATCAAATAAATAAAGCATATAAAAATACATAAACACATAGGAACACATAGAAGCACATAAGAGCACGTAATTGACATTGAAATAATAAAAATAGGGGTACCTCCCGTTTGAAGTGGTGACTAAATGGAGTCAAATTGTCCTATTTATACTCACAATGAACAAAAGAATTATGGCACCACTTTAATTGAAAATAATAATAATAATAAAAGTACTAAATTCACACTAATATGTCAAACATAAAGAAATTTAAAACATCTAAAATTACAAGTTGAACATATTCAAAAGTAACATAATTAGTTAAAAAAGAAACAATCATAATAAAGAGAGCCAAAATTTGCTAAGGACTGAATTGCAAAAATTGAAAACTTTTGGGGGATAAAAATTATATTTTCCAAAGTTCAGGGGTCAAAATTAAATAAAAGATAAAATTCAAGGACCAAAATGAAATTAATTTAAGGACCGAGTTGAAAGGAATTTAAATGTTCTGGGCCGCAGTGAAAGTACTTGAAAGTACAGGGACTGATATGCGAAAACATTTTCTTATTCCTTAACAAATCAGGCCACTGGGCCATCATTTTATTTATTTCTGGGCTAAAAACTACCTAAGCCCAACCGAAATCCAAAGCAAAAGGAAAGAGCCAGTCCACTATTCTAACCTCAAGAATAAATCAACCAGCTGATGGGCCTTAACCCTTCAGCCCAGGACAAACCCAAATGAAAAAAAAAAACCTAACCCAAATCCAAGTAACCCAAACAAATAGCCAAATCCGATTCCCCTTTCATTTTACCAAAACCCAACAAACTAATAGTTGAACTAAAAAATGTTAAAGTTTAATTTCATTCCAAAATCCAGAATTAATTAACTAAAAGCACAATTAAAACATAAAAAAAAAGATTTAAGCTTGAAAGGGGTAAACATGATTGATTTGCAGAAGTTTTTGGGCTTTAGTGAAACAAGGAGAGACTTGAGGGGTTAAAGTGAAATTGGCTAAAATTTCCCATGCAAAGCTGCGTTCTTCTTCTCAAATTCAGAAGCTTTCTGCAACCTTGCTTCGCGTAGCATTTATGTCAGATGCAAGCAACCAAAATCCAGTCAAACATCAAACATTAAACATTCAAACTAAAACTACATGACTTGCAACTCTAATCATCAAAACTCAACCAAAATCTAAACTAAAGTGAACCATCCAAAAGATACAAAACAAGAATAGACGCAGCAAATTCTATGCAACAATTCTTCTGCAACCTTCTGGGTTTGCTGCAACATTCTTTCTTATTCCACCCACGTATGTTAATGCAATAAGAAACAAACCTGGAAATACATATATATATAAATGTAAGAAAATAAATAATTCAATAAAAAGTATTCAAGAAAAACATTAAAATTTTAACAAAATTTTGGTGTCTACAGTTTGGATACCAAATATTATTTCGTTGCCCTATAAACACGTTTTTCAATCACATTTTTATCTTTCTAACCACTTTAATTGTTTCAATTTCTAAACACATTTAACCTAATTGCTGATTTTTGCCAATTACTATAGGAATCCAATCACGTGCTACCATGTGTCAACAACTAATTTTTTAAAAAATTAAAAAATATGAAAAAAGATATTGTTAGCCATATTTTTTTTTAACAAAAGAGGAATAATTTACCTGTATGTCAAACGCGTAAGCAATTAAATTTTATTCCAAAATACATGAAAATGAAATTTTTTCTTTTTGTTGGAAAATTGGCAGTGAATAGGAAAAGAGGAATTTATTTTTAATATATAGTAGATTCTTGGGAAGTTTTACCTACAAAAAACGAAGTAGAAAAAATAAAAAGAGCTAAATTGACTAATGCTATGCCTCACCCTCTGCTAAAGTTAAGTGCGTTCAAGGCACGACTACTAGTATGTTTCGGCATGTGTGCATAATATTAATAAAAGTTTTCAATTATAAATGAACTATCTAAAAACTTAGAAGGGATGCTATAGGACTTAATTGTCATTTCCTATGGTTTATAGCCATTGCAACAAGCTTAATTTTGACAAAAATAAGAAAACATCACACTAAGAAGCTACTTATGCTTTATTAATGTAACCATACGTGTTAGCAGGCATAGTAGTGCAATCGAAAGCAAACAAGGATGATAATTAACTTAAACCCTTAAAGCCAACTTTCTTTTTTGGGTCTTCCTTGAATATAAAACAATAAATACATAAACCTGGCATACACAAAATAAGGATAGAACGGAAAAAATGAATAGTTGTTAATGTACACGGGAAAAGGGTAGAATGGAAAACCTATGCTAGTAATCCAGCATAGTATGGTAGATCAAGAATCAAATGACAGACATCTAAGGGCCCAAGTGTAAGGCATCAATTATTCAAGTCAATATTTCAATAAGCTCAATTAAAATAGTCAAAGAATAGATATGAGATATATATCCTTACTCCCTCTTCCTTCGAAACATCAAAATCATAATAAATAAGCAAACAAATCTATTGCCTAATGGGACAAAAACAAACTTGAAAGCAGTTTGTAGTGATGCATAAAGTAGGAGGTGTTTATGTGTTTCCTTCTTTTAAAGGATTTACACAGATGACATGTTTGGTTGACAAACATCCTTTACAAACCCCCCCCCCAAACTTAGAGCTTACACCTAAATCTACAGTATCAATTCTCCCATCCCTTCCCTTATTCACTCAAATCATTTGCCTAAATCTACAGTATTAGTTCTTCCATCCCTTTCCTTGTTCACTAAAATCATTCCCACTCTTGTTACTCTATATAAATTCGATTGAAATTCAATAGAATTTTCTGAATTGATAGAAATTATTATACATTATAGAGTTGATTAAAGAGCCAGAATAACCCTTGGCATGACTTCAACTTTGTTCTTGACAATTGAACGGTATCGTTAGATATCTCGCAGTGTTAGGGATAGCCATAATGGTGGTTTCAACATTATTTTTGATGTTGAAGTCGCTTGTGCTCCCATCGCTTCTCAGCCCACGGTGGTAACTTGGTCAGCCCCAATTTTGATGATGAATGGCATTATTACCTTATCCCGAGGTAAACTCTAACAACAATCCTTAGAAGATAGAAAAAGTAAGTGTTAGTCCGATCTGGCTCTCTCAGCGTATGATGATCTATGGAAATGAAATAGCACTTAGCCAGTTAATATGGAATAAATTACTTTTTGAATACATTTACCAGAGTGATTGTACCCTTATAAATGCACATTCACTTCTTAATCAAATCATTCATTGACTTGGCCTATCAGCTAAATTGGTTAGAGTGTCATGCTAGCAAAGCGAGGATCGCAGGCAAGGATTTGAAACACCAAATCATTTATTGACTTGAAAAAGTGATCGGATCAAAGGATTATTGATTCAAAAGTTGACATGATAAATACATGATAAATACAGTTAATGGTTATAAAACATATAAAATATGTACACAATTGTAGAACTTTAGTGCATGTTAGAAATAATCACTTCAACCCTCACTCTAATCTTCTTAAATAATGTTTGTTAGAACCTTAAAAATAACTTGTATTGAATAAAAGATAAAATATTATACGACGCACTGTTTCCTAGTACTTTTAAATTTTCAAAAACATAGGAGTTGTAATCTGTATGGC